AAACTCACCACAGAGAGCCTTAGAATTAATTTTCTAGTGTGCTTTTTGCTACTTAATAAAAGTTCTAATTTTTTAAATTATCTTATTCTGTACCAGAAACTATATTGTGACTGCATAGTGAATATGATATTCAAGGGAAAATAGATTGCTTTCAAGAAATAATTAGCAAATGTGATCTTACTCTGAGAGCAATTTTTATTATACCTCTAAATCTAAGATCTATAAATGGTATTTATTACCAGCATAAAAGTCATTTCTCGGGCCCTCCCTGGTGGTGCAGCGGGTTAAAGCACAGCACTAAGAAGCTAAAGCCACTTCCACATGAGTTCGATTCCCGCCTGCCCCGGAGGAGATCCACATGGTGTGGCAGACCTCTCCTGACCCGCCCACTGCTCCCCTCAGCAGTGTACTTCCTCGATCTACCTGTTCTGCTCCCCTCTCTGTCTCTGGTGAATCCTCTCATCCGCCACATCTCTGGCCTGTACCCCAGTTCCAGATGAATAAATATATAAATGTTTAAAAAAAGTCATTTTTCAATCAAAACTAACATTCTCAAATCTAATGCTAGTTTTACTAATGTATCAAAGCCAAACTACAGGCATGTCAACATTCTCATCTAGCCTACATTCCCTGAGGCTTGACCACCTCTGCTAGGTTCAGCTTTGTTATCCTGAATCACGGGTATAAAGGCAAGATGAGGTACCCCTCTGGAAATCAGGAAGATTGAAGAGTCAGGCTGAGTTGCTGAGCCAAACATGATGAAAGAGAGAAGAAAAATCAGTGGAATCTGGTATAAGCAGAAGCAAAGCAGAGTCAAGGAAAGGTTTCCCTAGGAATCTATAGACTCTCGGCCTTCCCTGGTGGTGCCAGGGGTTAGAGCTCAGCACTGTGAAACTCTCCACAGCCACTACGGCACAAGTTCAATCCCCAGCCAGAGAAGTGACTGACTCAAGGCACAGCAGACCTCTTCTCTCTCACCTGCTGCTCCCTCAGCAGTGTATTTCAGTAGATCTGCCTGTTCTGCTCCCCACTCTATCTCTGGTGAATCCTCTCACCACTCTACCCCACACAGCTGGCCTGGGGTACAGATGTAGATGAAAACTTAAATTTATGGGGCATAAGAGGTTTTTGGGGGTGATGAAAATGTTCCAGAATTGGCTATGGTAATGAGTAAGGGAACCACCAAGGTCAGAAGACCTTGCAGGGAGATAAAGAGACTTGGGCCTAGGAGGAGATGGCAGAGCCCATGTTAAGGCAGCAAGAGGTCAAGCAAGGCCAGCAGACAGTAGCTGCAAAGAAACAAAAATGCAAAACTACTCCCTAGTAAATCCCCCACCCACCTACCTTAAAAGAGAGAACAGAGACTAACATTAAACCCCAACTAATAAAAGCAGCCTCTGGAATCCCACCATGGCAGCTCATTAGATTTTCCTCCTGGAAACAAGAATACTGTTTTTACTTCAAATAAAGATATGTTTCACCTTGCCCCACATGAACATTATTGTGCATATTCCACTATCTTTTCTCTTTTTAACGTGGCCACTATCTCATTGCCTCTTCTGCATCCTGGGGAAGTGAAGAACTCACTGGTATATGATGCACTGCCAATTTTCAGCAAAGCTTATTTATATTGTGAATCTCCTCTAACACACTAACATGTACATTTTTAATGGATAGGTTATATAGTATGCTAATTAGATCACAGTAGGGCTTTAAAAAAAGTAAAGTTTTTCTTTTTAAAGACAAGAGAAGTCAGTTAAGAGATGCTCCAAGTCCAAAGGAAAGAAGGAAGGAGACCCATACTTAAGAATAATTCAAGATGACATCCACCAGGGGGCAAAATCAGAATGCAAAGGTAAGGAATGATGGCAAACTGCTTGATCAGGCTGATACTTTATGATAGCAGTTCTCAAGCCTGGTTACAAATTAGATCATCTGTTTACAGGGTGAATCCATTTTTGAAGGTCTATCACGCAGTTTCTGAAACCTCTAAAGTAGGGTGATAGTTCCTTAGAAAAACTTCAGTAAAACCTAGAAATTTCTAAGAAATATAAATTCTTTCCTCTTCTCACCCTCTTCATACCTCCTGCCTTTCCACCAGAAACTCCAAGAGTGTGGGGCAGTAATCTTATTTCAATAAGCCTTTCAGTAATTTAATAAATGTGTATCTCATAGAGGATTCTACAAAATAGCAGCAGTTTGTCCAACAAATTAAGATGTTTTATGTGACTACTGAGCTGGTGTCTGAAAACAAATTTAATACAAAAATATGTTAAAGTGTGCTGGCAATTTCTGTTAAATTTCTAAAAAAAAAAAAAAGCTAAGATCTTAAAATTAACTCATCCGTAAGAAAAACACACAATCTTGCTGAGGGGCACCTTTACCATCTTGCTGAGGGGCACCTTTACTATCGGCCTTCAGTCTAGAATGTCTAAGAATCCTAGTACTTGGAACCTTGAAGAGCTGAAAAAGCTACACTATATGAAAGAGTATAGAAACAGAAGATGAGGACCCTCCCTGGTGGTGCAGCAGGTTAAAGCACAGCACTAAGAAGCTAAAAAGCCACTTCGGCATGAGTTCGACCCCAGCCCCAGAGTGATCACATGGTGTGGCAGACCTCTCCTGGCCCGTCTACTGCTCCTCTCAGCAGTATATTTCATCGATCTGTCCATTTTGCTCCCCACTCTGTCTCTGGTGACTTCTCTCACCTCTGCACCCCTGCACCTCTGGCTTGTACTCCAGTTCTGCATGCACAAATATATCTTTTAAAAAAAAAGAAAAAGAAACAGAAAAGAAACATAAGATGAGACGGGGCCCCACAAGATCTAGGTTCCCCAAGGTCTCTTTCCCAGGTGCTTCTTGCTATACAATTCCACCAATAAAAACTAAAACCCTTACCCTCCTAGCAGGACATGGCTGAGATGGAGCCATGCAACGGGAAGTTTAGTAAAGTCACATCAGTCTACTGTTTACCACTGTACCAGAGTGAAGGCCAAGACAGAAACACTTAAGCTAAGAGGTCGGAGGATGGGAAAAGAATAGGTAAATTAGAAATTCTAAGTTCTAATAATAGATTTAAAAACTATGATGTCATAAGATCTCTGGATTTTGGCACAGTAATTGGCAGTGAGAAATAAAGACAAAGAATGATGAACTTCACACTTTCTCTGGCAAGTCCTCTCACCTCTGCACCTCTGGCCTGTGCCCGAGTTTTTGTATGCACAAATAAATCTTAAAAAAAGGAGGGATACTGCATTCCTATTGTGGAAACAAGGATGTAAACCAGTCATCACTCAATGTAAAATAATTACAAAAAGAAATAAAATATTTCTCAAAACACACATGCCATACACACATAAAATATATAAAGCACATAAGTACATAATGTACAATGAGAGAGAAGCTTTTAGAAATATCCTGCCTTCATTTGCAAATTATAATCGACATTATAAATATCCTTAATAAGCCCCCACACTCATTAATACTCTCCAGGGAATAAATATCAAGAATTATCAGAGCCTACTGAACAGCATTACAAAATTTGACTGTAAAATTCAATTTGTTAATAATTCATTAATAATTACCACCAAGTCTGACAATAATTTCACGAACTTTAAATGAATTACTATTTGAAAAGGGTAATTAGTGAGGTAGCTAACCTTACTTTAAAAAAGAAAGAATCATATATAAGACTGTTTCTTTGTTAAAAAGGAAGAGACACTGATTTTGTGTGTGTGTGTGTGCGTGTGTGTGTGTGTGTGTGTAAGAAGATGGCAAAGTCAGACTTAGGAGACATTAAGAATCAGTATTTTAAAAAAAGAAGAATCAGTACTTGGTGACAAGGTCATTCCATTCTAGATTCCTTATCTTTTCTTTATATATATATATATTTTAGCTTTTTTGGGGCCAACCAAGACATGGTCTAGCCTTTTATTAGTCCCTAATTCATTCAAATCATCAGCCTGATGCTCCTTAGGA